CTGTCCACTGCTGCTGGTTGAATTTCCAAAATTAAACAAGCTGCAACATTTTATTTTCCCAGATAAACATGGTGTTTATCAACAGGCAGTCTTCGGGCCTATTTTGACCTTCTGGGTGCAGAGGGGATGTGGTTCAGGGAGCAGTGTGTAGACTCAGTAACCCTCCTGCTGTGTTTCAGTCAAMTTTGACCACTTTATGTTTTTGAAAAAAAAAAGTTTATTTGATCATTTCACAAGTTTATTTACACAAATTATCCCAATAGATAAAAAAATTGATCATTTTAAATCAGTTTTGTATTTATTATTTGACACCCACTGTCTAAATCAGGGGTTCTCWAACATTTTGGGTCTGGGGACCCCTTACAAGGGTAAAAAAATTCCAGGGACCCCCTCATAAACCCCATGCTGTTTTAAAAGATAATTTATTGTCATTTCAACCCCTAAATGCCATGGAAATGTATATATTTTATTTCACTTGCAAGGACCACACCATGGTAAGAGTTTAAAAATTTTATTGAAGGAAAGGGGTCGAAGGGTAGTGGGATGAATGATGAAGTGTCTGGGGAGGTACGTCGAAGGAGGCTTGAGGAGAAGACTCAGAGTGGGGCATAGACTTCAGGAAGGATGCTTTCCTGAGCCTGCTTTGGACCCCCCAGCTGGAACCTGAAAAGGAATGGATGAGGAGGTAGTTTGAGGTAGGGATGGAGGAGAAAGAAAGAAGCAGAGATGGGGGGTGGGTGGGATAAAGGGATGAGGGAGGGATGAAGGGAGGAAGGGATGAGGGAAGGGACGAAGGGATGAGGGAAGGGTGAAGGGAGTGAAGAAGGTGACGCAATGAGGGCTTACAGAGGGGCTTAAGTGGGGTGAAAGGGGAGGGTTGGTGTCGAGACAGCGAGCTAAGGGCAGACGCCAGGTGAGGTGAGTTTAAATAGACGACGACTGATTGCTGCAGGTGAGAGGCGTGGTCCTGCTCACGAACCTAAGTTAATGTCTTAACTTCATTAAGTTTATGTTTGTTTTATTGGTTCATTTTTCTCCATGCATTTTTAAAAATAAAAAACAAATTAAMTATGTAGTGAAATTTTTTGAGGACCCCTGGGGGTCCAGGGACCCCAGTTTGAGAACCTCTGGTCTAAAATGACTGATCATTAAAATCACACTGGATAGGCCTACTAGTCAATCAGAAACTGGGTGGGGCAAGGGCAGTTACAGGGGACGGGAACACAGGGGCATTGGCTCCAGATGAAATCTGATTGGCCTCCTGAAGTCCCCCTGTCCTGTCAGTCATCTCTGTCCTTTTAGGATAGTGATGATGG